CTGATCATAGCAGATCTCCTCGAAGGAGGTACAATCAGTATTCCCCAGGAAACCCTTGCAGTACGTCTAACTTGGCGGCCAAAGTTAGATTTAGCTATAATACAAGAGCTTTTGAACAAACGCTGGATGACATTAGACCTCCTTTCGGTCTTGAAGGAAGCACAAAGGACTTTACCCATCAAGATGTTTGCTGACAGAGAATTTGGTGATCCTAGGTATGATTATGGCCATACAATTGCTATACACGAAAATTTGTCTTATCTTCCAAGACTTCAAAAGGATGAACAAAAGCCAGAATCAAACGATTTATAAATGAGACTGAGGCTATGTTCATACTATACTGGATAGCTTTGCCTACCGACGGTGACTACGATGACTACGCGTTGGGTGGTAAACGCAAACATTTTATACACGCTCATGCAATTGGATAATTCCAAACATCGCTCACGAGCAATCAGTAGACTATTTGAGGGTGGGAAGACCCATGTTTTGTCATGCAGTATTGATTATTCTCATCCCCTGAGTCCATATTCGTGTTCACCACGCAACGCCTAGTCATCGAGTTTCCTGAGCGCACGTCATGTTGCCCAGAACCGAAAGCGTTAAAAACATTTCCTCACAAAAAACACATCGCAGTACCCGTGACGAGGGGGAAGAGATAAGAGACGTACCTGGCCTTAAGGGTTTGGCACTTTTATGGTTAATTGGTGCGCGGTTGTTTGATGCGGGAGAGATTTGTGAGTTGAAGTTGTACACAGCAACCTGCCTTGCTTCGCATTATGTAGGAAAACGACACCGAACAAACAACGAGCCCCAAAACCGTATAATCAATGTGTAAAGAAGATGAAAAAGTCCCTCAACAGCAACGGCAGTCATGGGCAGCCGGTAGTAACTTGCTACTGAATGAGACCAAGACCAAGCAGATGGTTATTACCACCAAGCAGATGTCTGGAGTGCATCATCTTGAACTGGAACTAATCGTTCACACACATCGAACATCAAGTTGGAGCAGTTGGTCGAGAGGGTTTGTGACCTAAATTCCAGTCTCACCCCTGAATATTTACTTCCATCTTAGTAGATTCCAGTCCTCGCTGTTTATTCACTTCCGCTTCGAATCAAATACCTGTTTACACTGCACCAACGTGTGGCACAGAAACTATCCGATATGTGACGCCCTAGTTTAGAGATCGCCGCGGCGCAGCTTCCCTCAGTTACAGAATCGCGCCGCAATAAAATTTCTTATGTGTGAACATACGTACATACATGAGCCTCGGGCTCGGATGATCGGGGCGACCCCATCCCACGTATAGACATAAATTGATTGATTGATTGACTGAGTGAACAGAAGCGCTACCCGGTATGATTTTCATGCAAGCGCAAGAGCTATCCTCGACAGTGTGAACATAGCCGGAAACACCTACCAGTTTCATCACCTTAGAAAGTTAGCATATTAAATCGTGTTGCAGGACCAATATTTGTAGTGAGGTGTGGGTTCAAGCTGCGTTGCAACATGTTGAATGTCTGATTTTGAAAAGAATATCTTTAGGACCAATGTAGAAAAATAGCCCGCAGGAATACACTCACCTTGTCCTATTTCAGTACAAACGTAGAGTTGCTTGTAAACGCAGTCTGCTAAATAAGGTCCAGTTTTATCTTCCGCGCGTGCCTAAGTCGGTTAAATTACTCTTCACCATGTTCACGTAGATTTCACTGGATCAAGGCCTAACTTTTCTCAACTATTTCAAGTTATATACTAAGACTCGACACAAAAGAAAAATAATTGAAAGTTTCCATATTCCTTGAGAATTTTGACTCCTACTAAGAACTAATTAGAAAGCATGTTATCTATAGCATTAAATTTTATTAAGGACTACATGCAATCTTTGTTATTGCCAGTAGCAACTTTGTCTTTTTTATGTGGTATTTTTTTATACAGCAAACCAATTGCCTTCTTGGGAATCACCATTCGCTAAAACTAAACGGAAGTTTTAATTCCGAGACATACGTGAACCTCGTAAGTGTGAGCATAACAATGACATCTACCTATAAATATTTTATGTATTAAGAATTAGTAGTATAGGAGGGACCGAATTAACCCCTTTTTTGCGGAGGATTCTCATTAGAGTGCGGAGGAATAAATTAACGCCAATGACGTCATAACCTTTTGTCTTGATCTCATGAATAGAATGCGCAGGAATCTCATTAACATAAGGTCGTGTGCTATTTTAAGTTGGTTTAGGTTTTCTAGTTACTTTAACGTCAATAAACGTCTTCGTTTTCTATTGGTTAGATAGAAAAAAAGAAAAGTTTTCATTGGTTAATTCATAGTGCCTGAGAAGTAAAGTCAAACTTGTCTCTGACTTAAAATCACTGAGACGTAACGTAATTATGCAAGTTCTATTTCCTGCTGCTGCGATTGTCATGGTTCCGGTTCACTGATTTTTGGCAGGTAAATCGTGCATATTAATGAGGGCAAAGGCCAACTAGCTCTTTTTTACACTGCAAACAATGTTTTACTCACCCCTCTCCTTTTCATTTTTTTTTTTTACTTTCCTTCTCCTCCACAATTTTATTATTTTCGTTCCTCAATTCCCTCCTCCTCCTCCTCCTCCTCCCCATTTTTTGTTTTCCCTCCTCCTCCTCCTCCTCCTCATTTTTGTTTTCCCTCCTCCTCCTCATTTTTGTTTTCCCTCCTCCTCCTCCTCATTTTTATTGTTTTCCCTCCACCACCACCACCACCACCACCACCACATTTCTATTGTTTTCCCTCCACCACCACCACCACCGCCACAACATTTCTATTGTTTTCCCTCCACCACCACCGCCACCACATTTCTATTGTTTTCCCTCCACCACCACCACCACCACCGCCACCACATTTCTATTGTTTTCCCTCCACCACCACCACCACATTTCTATTGTTTTCCCTCCACCACCACCACCACCACCACCGCCACCACATTTTCATTGTTTCCCACAAAAAGGCCAAAGAGGCCAAAATCAGGCCTAAAAAGGCCAAACTCAGGAGGAGGTGGTAACAAAAAAACAAGAAATGGTGGTGGTGGTGGTGGTGGTGGTGGAGGGGAAAACAATAGAAAGGTGGTGGCGGTGGTGGTGGTGGTGGTGGAGGGAAAACAATAGAAATGTGGTGGCGGTGGTGGTGGTGGTGGTGGTGGTGGTGGAGGGAAAACAATAGAAAATGAGGAGGAGGTGGAGGGAAAACAATAAAAATGAGGAGGAGGAGGAGGGAAAACAAAAATGAGGAGGAGGAGGAGGAGGAGGAGGAGGGAAAACAAAAATGAGGAGGAGGAGGAGGAGGAGGAGGGAAAACAATAAAAATGAGGAGGAGGAGGAGGAGGAGGGAATTGAGGAACGAAAATAATAAAATTGTGGAGGAGGAGGAAAGTAAAAAAAAAATGAAAAGGAGAGGGGTGAGTAAAACATTGTTTGCAGTGTAAAAAAGAGCTAGTTGGCCTTTGCCCTCATTAATATGCACGATTTACCTGCCAAAAATCAGTGAACCGGAACCATGACAATCGCAGCAGCAGGAAATAGAACTTGCATAATTACGTTACGTCTCAGTGATTTTAAGTCAGAGACAAGTTTGACTTTACTTCTCAGGCACTATGAATTAACCAATGAAAACTTTTCTTTTTTTCTATCTAACCAATAGAAAACGAAGACGTTTATTGACGTTAAAGTAACTAGAAAACCTAAACCAACTTAAAATAGCACACGACCTTATGTTAATGAGATTCCTGCGCATTCTATTCATGAGATCAAGACAAAAGGTTATGACGTCATTGGCGTTAATTTATTCCTCCGCACTCTAATGAGAATCCTCCGCAAAAAAGGGGTTAATTCGGTCCCTCCTATACTACTAGAATTCGTGTTTAACTTTTAATAATAAATAAATTTAAGAACTATTCAAGTTTCAACTTTGTTCTTCTATCTGCGGTTTATTTCGCATAAATAGTGAAGAGCGAACTCGGAACAGATCGTTTGTGGTGATAATTATTTGTTTTAAAAAATCTGAATCTTGAGTTTAAGACAAAATTGAGGCGTAGAACAACAGCAAGTGTTAAAACCTTAAAAAGATGTCTCCTTCCCGTACAAGAAAAGGTCGAGATTTACCAAGTGCTAAGCGGTCGAAAAGGTATCCAGACCCACAAGCACGGGAAAAATGAAATGCGCGGGAAAATGCACGTGATTCTAGCTTGACCTTTTAACATCAAACACGAGAAAGAGTGTTTTAAAAGTAGGTTGAGTTTGATCGTCCGGGTGAACGTAATCCTGAATAGGACTGTTGTTGCTGACAGTAATTAAATAGCTGACGTTTCGACAACCTGTGCGGTAGTCATCTTCAGAGTCAAGGGTGAGGGTGGGTGGGTGGATAGATAGATAGATACATACATACATACATAGATACATAGACAGATAGATAGACAGGGATCGATCGATCATTGAAGGACGATTTCTCGTTAAATGGTTCATTTACTTGGCTACGACGAATCGCTCTCTCGAACTTCGAGCTTCACGACGAGTCAAGATCCGCTGTAATATTTTTCAAAAAGTTCATATGTTGCAAACCTAGTGAGAGCAAATCCTTGTCGTTTTTACATTGTGGTATTTCAGAGTGAGAGAACTCTATAAAAACTCTATAAATTTTTTTTTACAAAAACCCGAGAAAAGGTGTACACTACGTGCGAGCTAACAAACATAGCTGACTGTAGACTGATTAGGTGGCACACCCATACATGTAAGTGCAGTGTACCTTAGTGTTTTCTTTAGGTAGAGCTAGCAAACATAGCTGACTGTACATTAAGTGGCACACCCATAAGTGCAGTGTAACCCAGTGTTTTCCTAAGGTTGAGGTAACAAACATGGACTGTACTTAAGGTGGCACAGCTACGAGTGCAGTGCCGCCCAATTTTTTGAATAGGTAGAGCTAACAAACATAGGCTAAAATCTAGGTGGCACACCCATGAGTGCAGTGTAAC